CAATTTCCTGTGTTTTCCTTTTATATAAAATAATGATCCTTCCCTTTCATGTTTCTTTTAAGAATAGTAATTTCCTTTCATTTTCCCTGTAAAAATGCTCATTTCCTTTCATTTTCCTTTTATAGATTATCATGTCCTTTCATTTTCCTTTTAAACATGATCATTTCCTTTTGTTTTCCTTTTAAAGTAATGATCATTTCTATTCGTTTTCCTTTAGCTTCCTCTGGTGTGCCATCTTAGTGCACCTATTGGGAAATAACAATTTCCTTTGTTTTCCTTGAAAAATAATGATCCTTCCCTTTAATTTTTCCTTTAAAAACAATAGTTTCCTTTCATTTTCCTTTTAACAAATTATAGTTTCCTTTCATTTTCCCTGTAAAAATGCTCATTTCCTTTCATTTTCCTTTTAAAGATTATAATTTCCTTTCATTTTCCTTTAAAAAATAGTAATTTCCTTTCATTTTCCTTTTAAAGATTATCATTTCCTTTCATTTTCATGTCCTTTCATGTTCCTTCAAAAAAAAATTCCCTGTAAAAATGCTCATTTCCTTTCATTTGATCATTTCTATTCGTTTTCCTTTAGCTTCCTCTGGTGTGCCATCTTAGTGCACCTTTTGGGAAATAGTAATTTCCTTTTGTTTTCCTTTTAAAAAAATGATCCTTCCCTTTCATGTTTCTTTTAAAAATAGTAATTTCCTTTCATTTTCCTTTTAAACAATTATGGTTTCCTCTAATTTCCCCTTTAAAAATGCGCATTTCCTTTCATTTTCCTTTTAAAGATTATCATGTCCTTTCATTTTCCTTTTAAAAAAGTATAGTTTCCTTTCATTTTCACTGTAAAAATGCTCATTTCCTTTAATTTTCCTTTTAAAGGTTATCATGTCCTTTCATTTTCTTTTTAACCATGATCATTTCCTTTTGTTTTCCTTTTAAAATAATGATCATTTCTATTCGTTTTCCTTTAGCTTCCTCTGGTGTGCCATCTTAGTGCACCTATTGGGAAATAACAATTTCCGTTGTTATCCTTTTAAAATAATGATCCTTCCCTTTCATGTTTCTTTTGAAAATTGTAATTTCCTTTCATTTTCCTTTTAACAACTTATAATTTCCTTTCATTTTCCCTTTTAAATTGCTAATTTCCTTTCATTTTCCTTTTAAAGATTATCATTTCCTTTCATTTTCCCTTTAAAAATAATCATTTCCTTTCATTTTCCTTTTAAACAAGTATAGTTTCCTTTCATTTTCCCTGTAAACATGCTCATTTCCTTTCATTTGATCATTTCTATTCGTTTTCCTTTAGCTTCCTCTGGTGTGCCATCTTAGTGCACCTTTTGGAAAATAACTATTTCATTTGTTTTCCTTGTATATAACATACTGATCCTTCCCTTTCATGTTTATTTTAAACATAGT